TCTACAAATGATGCATCTTTGAGATATAACAATTGTTTTTCAATATTCATAGCTATGATGAATGAATAATAAAGTTTTATTTTGTAATAAAACAATGCTTACACAAAGTTAAGCAGATATTTGTTGTACATAATTTTTGCTACAGGATATGATAATTAGGAATACATTCTGAGTAATTCAGATCAGAGGTACTATTGTATGATTTTTTCCATAAACAAATAAAAATGGTAGTCAAAAATGGGGGGTGGGGGTGGGGGGAAGAGACAAGATGCTGCCCTGACAATACTTTAACTAGAAATAGAGGTTCCCATGTCTATTCCTAAGTGAGCTCACCCTGAATAGGAAGTCACAATTGAGCGCTGATCATATTTTGGCTTATATTATGGAAGTCCCTCCTCTCTGTGGGGAGCCCTGGGGGCACAGTGGTTAAGTGTTGGGCTGCTAACCAAAAAGTCAGCAGTTTGAATCACCAGCTGCTCCTTGGAAACCCTATGGGGCAGTTCTACTCTGTCCTATAGGGTCGCTATGAATCGGAATCAACTCCACGGGCAACGGATTTTGGTCTACTTTGTAGTGGGAATTGCCCTTTCTACTGGATGCTGGAGGGAAAGGGCGAGGAGCTCTGATTAAATTCTCCCATTAGCTGGAAAAACCCATTACCATTGAATTGATTGCAACTTCCAACGACCCTATAAAACAGAGTAGAGCTGCCCCATAGGGTTTCCAAGGAGTGGCTGGTGGCCACTGAGCCACCGGGGCTTAGGGCAGTCAAATAACTAGTCACAAAACTCACAAATTTTTGTTTCTCTCACTTACTGGTTTAACAAAGTTAGTTAAACTACCTGTCTTGGTTATCTAGTACTGCTATAATAGAAATACCACAAGTGGATGGTTTTAACAATGAGAAATTTATTCTCTCACAGTCTAGCAGGTACAAGTCCAAATTTAGGGCATCGGCTCCAGAGTAAGGCTTTCTCTCTCTGTGGGCTCTGGGGGAAGGTCCTTCTCATCAAACTTCCCCTGGACTAGGAGCTTCTCCAGGCAGGAACTCCAGGTCCAAAGGACTTGCTCTGCTCGCAGTGCTGCTTTCTTGGTGGTATGAGGTCCCCATGTCTCTCTGCTCGCTTCTTTCTTTTATATCTCAAAAGAGATTGGCTTAAGACACTGTCTAATCTTGTAGATCTAATCAATATAACTGCCACTAATCCATCTAATTGACATCATAGTGATAGGATTTATAACACATAGGGAAATCGTATCAGATGACAAAATGATAGACAATCATACAATACTAGGAATCATGACCTAGCCAAGTTGACAGATATTTTTGGGGGACACAATTCAATCCATGACATGACCCAAGGGCACACAGTCAATAAGTGTCATACAGGGCTAACATTCAGCAAGTATTCACTGGTATAACTCTGCTGGCCTTTAAAATAATGAACTACTTCGAAATTTGTTGGCATAGAAATGCATATATACTGATTAATTCCTCTAGTGCTCTGATTAACCTCCTAAGTCAGTATCCCATATCACCTCATTCTCGCTGTAATCCAGCAAGCAAAGGTTTAAATCTTGACATAAGGGGTCTCCAGATCCCTGCACTAGCACATCCTTTCTTGAGGGATCTGTGTCCCTGGCATGCCAATTGTTAGATATTTTTAATTTAACACCAGGAACAGCCCACATTCAAATATGAATCATTCTGATCCCAAATCCTTTGTTTATTTCCACTTTGCTTCTGGTCTTATATATTGAGAATAATCTTATACTCTTGTCTACCATGGTGATAAATAAACTTTATTTGTGGAAAAGACATGAGTTTAAAATGAAATGTGCTTAACCATTATTTAAATCTTGCTTACTGAATCCGTAATTTCTTCTGCTTAGAACTGATCCCAGACCAACCAGTGTATGCTTTTGCTTTGATTCAGTTAATGATAATGATATTTACACTTTGTAACTAATGATATTTAAAATTTGTAACTTACGTTTATTTAACTGTCTTCCAT